TCTTTATGTCTGCGGTCCAGGAGTAGAGAAGTCCTGTTGAAGTTTTGTAGGAATTGTGCCATATGACATTGAACTGTCTTGTAGATTATTTTTTTTTATTTAATTTGGTTATATTTTATTTTCTTTAAGTGAATTAAGGTGTTCTCAATTTAAACAATCATGCAAGAATACTACATATTACAGTATGGCTAAAATGCTTAGAGCATAAACAGCATTTCAGATTTTGTATTATAAACAACCACACTGCAGCACTGTAGACTGTGCAGGAACGATTGACCATGCAAAAAAAACCTTTTACTTTACTTGCATCTTTCATTTGAACATTAGCAGTATAAAGACTAAAGAGAACCAGCTGATTTTAGTGTTTGTCACATGGACAGAAAGAGGAAAAAGTGGTTTTCAGGTTTAGCACTGACAGCAGCCCAAGTTATTATATAAATACAGATACACCCATTTATTTATTAATTCAATGTTGCATTTGTTTATTGGTAGTCTGTGAGGTACTCCAGACAAAAACATAATGCAGTTTTATGCAACAGCCCTGCATTCAATCCTATCTTTATGAAGAGAATAACATTCAGATTTTACTGAAACAGTTTCAGAGAGGTGTTGATTCAACTGTATGGTAATTTTGGAAGTTGTAGTTTGTGCTTCTCTTGCACTGTTCTGGTACACTGAGAGGTGTTTCTATTATTTTGTCATCCCCATTTATATTGAGGCTAGACGAACAGAAACAGTTCACTGTATAGGTCAGTCAGTCTGGTGGTTTTCAGCAACTTTGAAAGTTTCTTCAAGTGAGGTCACAAAAACCACCAAGCGCTATAATGAACCTGGCCCTTATGAAGCTCTCCCCAGTAAAGGTAGATGTTGAGAGAAAGAAGATGCATACAGACAATATTTCATCAGGTGGAATAGGTTTGGGGTCCTGCATCTATGAACTGTTGTTCACATCATCTGGCCAAGAGTTGACCTCTTCTGCAGAGGTTCATTAGAGTTACCATCCATTCCTTCCATCATAACATCTACCACTGTATCATCATGAGATACAGGAAATCACGAGGAAAGATGGCGCCGACGATGGCAGCCTTGGTTACTCGCACTCTCTTGTTTTTGTTGTTTTTCTTTGTTTTCTCGTCCTTTTGCAACCCATTCCGGATTACTTTTACCACAAAAGAACTGTTAAATACTCGCACCGAACTACCTTTCTCCGATTTTTGTGAACGAAGAATGCTGTATGGACGTTCTGATCGGAGGTGCAGCTGCCATATACCGGACCTGTAAGAAAGGCCGGTGTGGCAAGCATGCAGGCGCCTTGGTGAGGCTACGCCAGAGAGGTACCCGGATTCCACTCCTGTCTATCCACCTGGCTAATCTCCGCTCCCTGGTCAACAAGATGGATGAAATTCTTCTCGTCAACTGGACTAACTCTGACTTTGCACGCTCTGCTGCTTTATGCTTCACGGAGACTTGGCTCAGTGACTCCATCGAGACAGCGCAATAGAAGTACCGGGCTTCCAGGTGTACTGAGCGGATCACATAACAGAGCTGTCCAGGAAAACGAGAGGAGGGGGGAATCTGTCTCTACATAAATGAAGGTTGGTGCACAGATGTCACGGTGCTACAAGGGACATGTAACACGGACTTAGAGACTCTTTTTATCAATTGCAAACCTTTTTATTCTCCCCGAGAATTTAACTCTTTCATTCTAATCGGAGTGTACATAAGACTGCAGGCCCATGCTAGCGCACTACGGCTCCTAGCAAAATAAATAACTAGCCTGGAACTAGAACATCGCGACTCTCCACTCATTGTTCTAGGGGACTTTAACAGAGCAAATCTCACCCACGAACTGCCCAAATACAGACAGCATGTCACCTGTCCCACCAGGGACAAAGTCACACTGGACCACTGTTATACAACAATAAAAGATGCCTGTCACTCTGTCCCTTGCGCAGCCCTTGGACTCTCTGATCACTGTATGGTCCACCTTATTCCAACCTACAGGCAGAAACTTAAAGCTGCAAAGCCTGTGGTCAAAACAGTGAAGAGCTGGACTGAGGAGGCTAAGTCAGAGCTACAGGCCTGCTTTGACTGCACAGACTGGAGTGGATTTGAGACTGCAGCTACAGACCTGCATGAACTCACTGACACTGTGACATCTTATATCAGTTTTTGTAAGGATGTGGGTGTGCCCAAAAAGACCTTCTGCACATACAACAACAACAACACCAACAAGCCCTGGTTTATAGCCAGACTCAAGCAGCTTCTGGTTTGGCTCAGCAACCAAACAGGACAAGTACAGACTCCAGAGGACAGTCAGGACTGCAGAAAAGCTCACTGGTGCAAGCCTGCCCTCCATGGAGCAGCTGGACACCTCACGGGTCGAAAAGAGGGCGAGAGGATCACTGCAGACCCCTCACACCCCGGACACAATCTGTTTGAACTCCTCCCCTCTGGACGGCCTTAAAGTTCACTGTGCACTAAGACAGCCAGGCACAGGGACAGTTTCTTCCCCCAGGCTGTCGCTCTGATGAACACTTGACCCATGACAGTATGACTGGACAATAACTCTCCGTACAATACCTGTAAATATACATTGTACAGATTATACAGTTCTGTACAGGTCTCTAGTTTTATTCCTATTTATCTTGTTTCACAATGAGCATTCCTTTGTCTGTCTGCATTACTGCCTGTTTATACTGCTTATTTTGCACTGTTTGTTGCTGTTAATACTGCTTCTTTTGTTATGCTAGCCTTATGTTGGTTTACTGTTTACTTGCGCCTTCCATCGGGATATGTACATGCACATTGAGAGCCGATGTACCAGAGTCAAATTCCTCGTGTGTCCGACAAACCTGGCCAATAAAGCTGACTCTGATTCTGACAGAGAAGGTGAATGGAGGGTACCTGTATGTGTGGTTCCCACTGTGAAGCATGGAAGAGGGTGTGGGGTGGTGGGTACATGTCACGTCTTTTATAAGATTGTTCCTATGTCCTCAAAGGACGTTTTCAGTGGTGAATTCACATATTTTATTGGTACTCCATCCTTGCTTGACCCAGAAGATGTTCCTGTCATGATGAAGGATGTCCAGAAACTCTTATTTCTGCCCTAAGGACCGAGGAGTGAGGATACTGCCTGAAGGAGCTGTAGCCAAGGATACAGGAGTGCATCCTTTGCAAGAAGTCTGTTATGTATCGACATGCCCGTTTTCAGAAATCAGCTGATGATTGGTAGCTTCACATGAAGGATCAGAGGAAAAGATGTCTCAGGTCAGTTGAAACAATGTGTTTCCTCCGTTCCCCTCTCCTCACTGTTTCTCCTTGCATCTTACAAGGGCGGGACTAAGATGCAAGGAAAAGACGCAAGTCAGGGAAACACTGATAAAATTAGAGGGACTGGGATTCACATCAAGTCTATATCAGCTCTGAGGGGTGAGGAGGCTGCTGGACGATACACAGGACCATCCTTCTTGAAGTTTTTTTTTTTGTATGAATTGACACACCCCTTCAGAAGTTGGTTGGTAGATGCTTCAGCTGAAGTATCTGAGGACAGGACCTCTCAAGTTGTTAATAATGCGTTTCCTCAATTCCTCCAAATGGGACTAAGGTGGCAAATGGGTTGGGGGTGTGTCCAGGGTCATGCGCTATGGTGAGTGCCATGCAAGTGAATCTGAGATCTAAGTTAGTTAGTTAGTTTGTTTACTTATTTAAGACTGATAGCATGGACAGGAAGGCATTCAAACTGGTAATGTGTACCAAAGTGAATACCTTTAGGGAACATCACATTAGACCACAAAGTTGCCAAAGCCAGTGTTTAGCATGTGGTGTTCTTCTGTTTTTTTGAATAGGTGCAGTCCCACTATCCATCCACCTGCGCTCTCTCCACGGCGACCTACTCTGAGGACGGGAACCTCATTTACACTGGCAGCCTGGGCCTTGCTGTTCGAGGTGAGTCACTTTCACCAAATTTTATTTGAAAGAAAAACATTTATCATCTTTGACTTTATTTGTATTTTATTTGATACTTATGAAGTCAGTTAATCACTAGAAGGAATATTTCCGTTTGCTTTCTACAGTACTCATAGGTACTGGTTATGTGAAAACAGCAAATGGAAATCATAGTGACTCTGTAAACAAACGTGAATGATGTATTATTTAAATGTCAACGATATTGAGTCGCAGAGGAATTTAGTTTCCAGTACTCACTACAAAATATTTGCGGCAATGCTGTACTGAGATGTACAGTGGAACCTTGGTTTTCATGATTAATCTGTTCGAAAAAAGTCAGACGAAAATCGAATCGCACGAAAACTGAAGCAATATTTCCCATAAGAAATAATGTAAATCCAATTAATCCGTTCCAGACACCCAACAATATTAACAAAAATACATTTTATAGAGAATAACTATATTTTTACATACAGAAAACAATGAGAAATAAATATAAATGACTAATGAAATGGATAAATGAACATTTAACATCACTTTTACTTTTATTGAAGACTCTTGTTGGCGTATGGAAGACGGCGAGGAGGGGAGAGGGAGGAGGAGAGGGTATTGTTTGGAAGGGGAATCCCCCTCCATAAGAACTTCATGTATCAATGCCCTATCTAGGGTTACTTCCCTTCACACATTTCTTCTGGGAAATAAGTGGCCGAGTCACGCGGGCGGGCGGACGAGCTTGGTATCCTTGCATCTTACAAGGGCGGGACTAAGATGCAAGGAAAAGACGCAAGTCAGGGAAACACTGATAAAATTAGAGGGACTGGGATTCACATCAAGTCTATATCAGCTCTGAGGGGTGAGGAGGCTGCTGGACGATACACAGGACCATCCTTCTTGAAGTTTTTTTTTTTGTATGAATTGACACACCCCTTCAGAAGTTGGTTGGTAGATGCTTCAGCTGAAGTATCTGAGGACAGGACCTCTCAAGTTGTTAATAATGCGTTTCCTCAATTCCTCCAAATGGGACTAAGGTGGCAAATGGGTTGGGGGTGTGTCCAGGGTCATGCGCTATGGTGAGTGCCATGCAAGTGAATCTGAGATCTAAGTTAGTTAGTTAGTTTGTTTACTTATTTAAGACTGATAGCATGGACAGGAAGGCATTCAAACTGGTAATGTGTACCAAAGTGAATACCTTTAGGGAACATCACATTAGACCACAAAGTTGCCAAAGCCAGTGTTTAGCATGTGGTGTTCTTCTGTTTTTTTGAATAGGTGCAGTCCCACTATCCATCCACCTGCGCTCTCTCCACAGCGACCTACTCTGAGGACGGGAACCTCATTTACACTGGCAGCCTGGGCCGTGCTGTTCGAGGTGAGTCACTTTCACCAAATTTTATTTGAAAGAAAAATATCTATCATCTTTGACTTTATTTGTATTTTATCTGATACTTATGAAGTCAGTTAATCACTAGAAGGAATATTTCCGTTTGCTTTCTACAGTACTCATAGGTACTGGACACACATCCACCCATATTCACAGGGATCAGGTACCTTTCTGACAACCTGAAGTCACAGAGATCAGGTACCTTTCTGACAACCTGAAGGTTTACTGTGGAAAAGTGACATGATATGTTGTACTGATGGAATAACGGAAAGCCCTGAAATTGTATATTTTAACTTATTATTGAGGGTGAGGACCCATTAAAATAGAAACTCAAAAACATAACTTGACTGTCCTTGCCATTAACTTGTAGAAAGGTCACCAATAAGCAAAATCATTTGCAACCAGTTTTAAACAGTACGATAACATTGGAAAGCTCTAAACATAAACTGCTGCCCCTCTTCGTAGTCTGACTTAAGAAAATAGTGCCCTTTTAAATAGTGATGTACTTTATAAATGTAGAATATTTACCCGGTCTTCTGACTCAACTACTTCTTTCTTTTTTTAGTATTAAACTCGGATGATTTTTGTGTCACCTGGTGCTAGTTGCAGCCAGGACCAGGAGATTTTGTCGATTTATCAATAAATGAGCATCAAGAACTGAAAATAGTGTGCTTGTATTTAAACCTTAATATGTGTACGGAACAATCATTTTCACATAACCACAATATTGCACTTTAGCAGTGGAATTAAAAAAGAAAACAAAAAAAATAGTAGTCCTGTAAATTTTAAGTTTCTCACTAAAATGCTATGTAGACTGCAGTGTTATGTCTGACATAAATGAACCTTATGGACCAAAGATGAGAGAAAAATAGCAAAATTAATTCATTTGCTAGTCCTGCAAAACACCCCGGTTTCTGCTAATTGGACAACAAAACACTAATATTGCAGTTGGAATTACTCCAAATTACAACCAGAATAATTCAATACAGAGGTACAAAATTGAAACGCTAACGTTAGAATGCTAATGATGACAACATATACACGTTAGCTAGCTACAGTACTTAAGCATCTAGCAGTATTGACAATGTGTCTCTGATGTTAAACCTAGTTTTGCCTCGTTCTTTGTCACACTCTTCCTGTGCTACATAACGCAGCCTTTTGGATCTAACAGCTCCGCACCCATCCTGGGTTGTACCTGCACAGGGAGTGTCTATGGTCTGGCGTCTTATAACCTCAGATCAGCAGCAGCATAGAGGAAGTGTGGTGCAGCCTTTAACAACATGGGTCGAGATGGGTAGAAATAAACACAAGGCTTGAAGCCATCGGGGTGGGGTGGAGGGTTAGGACAGCAGGGAGACATTTCTCAACATGTTTTGATTTATCCAAATTTGCGCTAAATCTTAGTTAATGCAGCTTTAATGTTGCCACTAAAATTGAGCCAGGTACAGGTGCCAACTCTGTAGCTGTTGGGGGGGCTTAATGCTTTTACACCCCTCCTGGATTCCATAGGAATTGGAGTAGATGATGATGTAGCCTGATATGCATGGACTCAGACGTTGACTCTCCTCTATGACTAATTACATGTTGTCTGTACTTGGCAAGCTCTGGTTTGATGTCCAGTGCAGTATGTTTAGACAGAACAAATGTTTAAAAAAAGACTATGTACCCTCCTTTTCAGTAAGACCACTGCAAACCTTCTGCATGTTGTGTTCATCACTCTTAACAGTGAATGAAAGAACATAAACATGATATCTCTCAAATAGTTTAGCTTAATATGCAGTCGGCGCTGTTTTGTGTGGGCCATCCATGTGGATATCCGCACAGAGTCTGTGTGGACCCCCTTGGACCTGGGAAGATGATGAAAATTATGTTACTCGATCTTAGCTGACGTGCGGATGCGTAAAGTATGAATTGCCTCTAACTGGTATAACACACTGGAAGCAAGATATAAGCAGCACGTTGTGTGTGTGTGTGTGTGTGTGTGTGTGTGTTTAAAATCATGAGAACAGCTGTTTATGTGTCAGCAGGACAGCTGTGGGACAAAGAGCCTTGACCAGGCTAACCAACAAGGCAAGTGTACTGGACAAAAATAGTTTGCACGTAAGATCATCAGGAAGAAATCATGTTTTTATGTAGTCTATGGATATAAGCAGCCTGATCAGCTGTAACAGATACCAGTGGAAACAGGTTTTGTGTGATTTATACATCTGACTGTGGAGATTAAGCTTCACTAAACATAGCAGAGGGAAAAAAATAGACATGAAGCATAAAAAACATGTAGGTTCTATGGGAGATGCTCATCTCAGATTCAGTGTGGATTAACTCATTTGATATAATAGAATTTTATCTGCAGTGTGAGACGTGCAGAAAACATTTCCAAAAGCGCTTCCAGTGTGTTTTACCAGTGAGACTCGCATTTTATTATCTTTGTTTATCATGTGATTTAAAAAATCAGAATTCTGTAAAGTGAAAGTGTGGATCCTAGTCATAGTTCAGTTAAAAACCTAAGTGCACAGCACAGTCTCGCTCCTGCTGCCCACGGATCTGACAAGTCAGTCTCATTGGACAGCAGCAGAAGAAGCTATATCACTGTCTTGTTCAATAGTCATTTACCCCTGGAGCACAGCGTGCTTTAGCAGCAAATAGAAATGCTGCTTTGACTGAAAAAAGTAGATTACAGACCCTTTTGTACCAGCTCTGTCTGTGCATAATGTATATTGGACATAAAACCAACCTGGCTCTGCACAGAGTGCGCCTGATGTAATTGCTTCAGTTGTGAAGGACAGTCAAAGTGAATGAAAGATCAGTTACTGTGGATTATGCACAATATAGCAGAATACCACATAGTTTTGCAGCAATAGTGTGAACAATTGGAATATAACACAAAACTATAAATTCATTCCTAAACCAGAGGCACCTACACTATAATGGAACTACTGCATACTCACCCTGTTGACGAGAAGAATTTCATCCATCTTGTTCACTAGGAAGTGGAGATTTGCCAGGTGGATAGAGATAAGAGTGGAATCCGGGTACCTCTCTAGCGTAGCCCAAATAACCTATCTTTAGTATCAGAGTAACTACTTTGAATGTACCTTTCATGTATTATAAACTAAGAAACTGCAGGTTTATGGGAATTTAATGTACAGTGAGTGATGAAACAATCTAATATTGACTAAAGTGCATACAGTAAGTACTTGGATTAAATGGTCATATTCCTGATACTGCCAGTGTATGCAGTGGCTCTTCATTCGGTAACTTGCGCTCTCCGACTCTTTTTTTGGCATGTCAGGGGTGAAGATGTTCTCTTACAGCACCAGCGGGGCCAGCCTCCTCCTCATGCCCCAGATCCTCCTGAACACTGCACCAGCAGTCCAGGGCTTCGCCCTGCACGCCGCTTTCTGTGTGGTCATTAGCTTCTTCACCTTCCTCACACCTGTCCTCCTCCACCTCATCACCAAGGGCTACGTGATCCGCCTGTACCACAACCCAGACAGAGACACCTACACTGCCATCACCTGCAGTGTCTTCCTCACTGAAAAAAAGACTGTGTTCCACCAGAGCCAGGTCAGGATCCCAGCTGTCAGCAGGATGTTCACCACCTTCTACATTGACAACAAGGGGCTGCTGGTAAACCCAGACCTGTTCACCCAACCGCACGACTACAACCACCTGATGGGCTATGATAAGCCCTTCAGCTTCAGCACAGATGACATGGACAAGCCTGATAAGTGCTGAACGGTCGCCACCAGGTAGAATGTGGTGATAGCATATGAATCCACAGTTCCAAACTGTACAGTACGTATGCTGTGTTTCTACCAGGCTGGAACGTATACTGAGGACTTGGGAACCAAAATATTTTCTCAGCTACATTAGATGTTTGTGTCAGATATTTCATGGTAATAAATGTAACTTCACTATTATGGTCTTTTGTTGCTGTCATCAAGTGCTGAGATTTAAGGCCAAGTCCTACATCTCAGTCGGAGAATAAAAATGTCATTGGGTGTTTACAGGTTTGCCATTTATCAAGTAACTTGTAACATCAGCAGAAAAAATCTTGGAGTTGATATTGACATTTTTTTCTCAATACCTAATAAATTAAAACTATTTTTTGAATTTATTAAATAGTGATTTGTTTAAGTGAAAAAACTGAAGTTGATAAATGTAACTTAAAAACAACTGTCAATGGATGACTTTGATTCTGAAAGAAAAAACTAAGGAGAGGACAAAGCATATCCATGGTAAGTCACGCTGAACTGTAATAATTTAGGTTTTATATTTGTGTGTTAAGAGTTCACTGAGTTATGAATTTTACTTCACATAGCATCTCCACACCACCACAATGGTTTTGAAATTGTCAGTATGTGCAGTCAACATCTTGTTTAATTGTAGACTTTTAGCTTTAATTCAAAGGGTTTTACAAACATATTGTGTTAACCATGAAGGAATTACAGCCATTTCTATACATTTTCAGAAGCTAAAACAAATGGCCCAAACTCATAGTCTGCACTCACAGAGTCACTGACTTTGAGTGCATGAGTTAGTGAGGGCTCAGGACTGTCCCACTGGGAAATCGTAAAGGGCACGAGAGCTCTCTTGCCTCCATTTGAAGTCCTTTATGCTCACTTTCTGTAATTTGCTGTTTCTGTAGACTTTACATGAGGGAATCATCCTGCCCTCCATCTCTTCTCTCCTCTTTCTGAAATACAAACAGAAGACGAGGAGTTAAGGTGAAAGAAGCAGAAGAGCAGATTATTTATTCATTAGTAATGATATAAAATGCCATAAAAGGAAATAAATTGATGCTTACCTTTTCCAATTATTTAAACTCCATTATCCCCCTCACCTCCTCTCCTCTCTTTTCATTTTCCTCATCTCTTCATATGATAATATTTAAAAATACCATGGGAGGAATACTTCATGAAGTATTCCATAACATTGGATAAACTGATATTTACCATTTCCATGTGAGGGCTCAACCTTCATCCTGCCCCCCAGCTCTTCTCTCCTCTCTGAAGACAAATGGATAACAAGAGGAGTTATGGTAAAAAAAAAAAAGACCCACGAATGAGAAGGAGCTAGATGAAGAACAAAAGGAGGCAATGGAGGATGAGCTATAGGAGAGGGAAGGACCCAAGTGAGGAGCCACTGTAGTAGGCTGGCACTGGGACCCTGGAGAGGATGAGAGTGGTCAGCATGGTCAGCCGGTTGAGATCTGGAAGGAAAATAGCTGCCCAGGTGTAACACTGCTCCATCTGAATGTGGAAACAAATACAACTGTCAGGCCTCTGCTCAGCATCACATGAACATACCATTAATCGTTTTACCATGATGACTCACTTTATATCATCACATCATTAAATTAAAAGTACCACAAAACTCCAATCAGAATAAAAGTTGTGCATTAAATTATACTTAGCATAAAGTAAAGAAGTATTTACAGTAAATATAAATGTAGCTACTGTTATTCTGACATGTATGAGCATTGATAAAGTGTACAGAATTCATTCATTGTAACAATACTGAACGCTAAACAGAAAATTCAATCAGAATCTTCTTGTGTAACCAATTTAATTTCATCGACAATAAGCATATGAAGCACTAGGTTGTATAAAGTTCTAGATGGACTACTTTCATATAATATTGTCAAAAAGATGAAGACAGAGCAGTGGAATTAAATACCAAAGCCCTATACAGAACATCACTGACCTTGTGAATATTAGAAAAAATATTGCATACTGTTTCTTTGATAATTTTTTAAATCTCATTTTGTCTTGCTAAGAGTCTGGATCACTAACTAGGTGAAGCCTGCACCTGCAGGGTATCCAGACCATCACAGCCCTGAAAAGACACTGTTCTGTCTGTGTGTGATACTGTGTACTCCATATTATTTGAGTCTACATAATTTGATTAGCTGTGAATCTGAAATTTGCACCAGCTGAAGAAATACAACATCACTTTTCCTCTATCGTGTCTTGTGACTGGATCCTACAAATTGGAGCATCTAATTTTAATACTTGCATTGTTTGTGTTTATATTGAGCTCATTTCTACATACATGACAGGGTCAGAATAGTAGGAACACCTCTGATTATAATGTAGTCCAGTACAATACCACTTGGCAAGGTCGGAACACGGGATTTTCTCGCCAACATGTTACTCTGAGTATATAACATATGACACTGCCTATACATCTCATCATCATCAGATGGATGGTCTATAATAAAGTGTCCCAGATATTTAGTTTTATTACAAACACGTAGCACTTGCCCTGACAAATAAACATCTGGAAAACAAAGATCCTTGTTTCCTCCAGTCCTACACATCATGACAACACTCTTTTTAGCATTATACTGAACATCATATTTAACCCCATATTCAGAGCATATACTCAACAGAAACCCAGCACTGCTAGGAAAAGAATAGCCAGATCATCAGCATACAGTAACAGGGCTGATGCTGCGGCAGTGATTGTAGCAGGCTCTATGATACCTTAGCATGGGAAGGGTGGTAGAGAAGGGGCCAGAGTGAAGCCTCCCTGATGGTGTCATTACAAGTGCAGTGCCGTATCAGGTTGCTCCCATGTACACAACTGCAGTGTCTCTAGTCATCCAGAAGATGACAGCACAGTATTACATAAAAGTTTTCCCAGAATGGGTACTTGGTCAAGCAAGCTCAAAACAGGCTGCAAACCTCTGAAGGCATAACAATCTACAGAAACAGGCTCCCATTTACCTGTTCATGCTGATCTTGAGTAGTTCAAATGTATATTTTCTATTTCTCTGGCAAATGTGCACAGCAGATGGTCATTAGTGTAATCTCAGATGATGCTTGGAGACTGCAAATTTAAAAACTAAGACCTGATTGAACAGAACATGAAAGGTCTTCTTCTGAAGGGCGGTGAAATGTGAAAAGGCAGACACACCTGGGTAAACACACCACTGCAGCTTTGAACACCTTGGAAGTGGGAAAAACAGCCCATATAACGAGGAGCTAACTTCTGGTATTTAGCCTGGAACAGAAGGTCTTGGGTGGAGAGCCAAACTCTCTGTTTCATGGTGTAGGATTGTAATACCCCAGTTCTTTAATTGGACAGCTCTGAATAATGAAGGAGTCTGTATTTCTTCATTTAGTGCTGATTTATTTTAACCACAAGTAAAAATTACAAACACAACCCGGGTTGCTCCCCCTTCCAGAAACACACACACTGGCTGCGGGAAAGTGGAGTCCCTGGTCACACAGAGCCTAATACATTTATAAGTTTTGGACTAACCCCTTACCCAGATGAAGTCAGTCCACAGACTCCATCTCTTATCTAGTTTTCCACATGCTTTGAGCAGCTGCGTTTCTACCTAGTTATAACAAAATGAAGAATCTCAATGTGTGTGTATGTTGTCACATGGTGTGTAGCTAAGGCATTCATTTATTTTTTCAGACATAATATTCTAATACAAGGTTAATACAAGAAAAGACTTGGTGTCATGGTGAACTTTTCAGAATCAACATTCTGTCTGCTAACCTTGAAACAAAACAGACTAGAGCAGACTTTGAATCTTACTAAATTGCATTACTAACACATTGTTTAACAATTATGTAACGGATTTACTAATATCTAACAATGTCCAGAAAGCAACATGGGACTGACCTGTGGCACCCTCTCCCATGTTACAGCACTAAGCTTGCCACATTACATCAGCATTACAACAACAAATGATCTACAATGCATCACCATTTACAGGAAAGTGGGTCATAATGTATCATGTATTTCCCCTCATTTTATTTTAAATTTTCAGCTGGAACTGAGTCAGAGACATTGTGGTTATATGGTATGTCAGCTAATCATTTGGCCACCAAGACACCCAGTTCCCTCTTTCACAGTAATGGACTGAGCTGAGTTCAGAAGAAACTACCGAATCGTTAACTCGTTTCTGCTTAATTTGCTTAAGTTGTTTAAAACTACTACATTATTTGTGACAGCTTTGTCACACATGCAGAGATGAGCCAGTCATTTATAAATATGCTTTATAAATAAACTGACATTGACATATGTTGTGACTTGCTGTTGTAGATATGAATCAGTTAATTTACTCTACACTCAGTGGTCAGTTTATTAGGAACAGCAGTCTAAAACATAGTCAAAGTTATGTACTAAATTGGGTGGATAAAATAATACAAACAGTATCACGCACTAGCTGTGTGGCTAATTAACCATTTCTAGCATCATGTTCAAGCTAGTCCAGCTTTGTAGACATGGTACAGTGAGGAACTGGGCTGTGTGCTTTCTCTTAAAGCACAATGCAGCCGTTTAACCGCTCTGCCTTAAATCAGAGATCCATAGATTATAGGTTAACATATAATTGTGAGTAAAATGTGATAAAGAAATTTGCTGAATACCAATTTAAAGATGTTTTAAATAAAGTTTTTAGGTGTGTTTACCTAAAGTAACAAAAGGAAAAAAACAGCTGTTTACTGTGTATTCCAAGTGTGTCAGTTTACATTTCCATCACCGTATGTCAATCACAAGGTTTGCAAATACAGTGTAGTTGTGTAATGAAGCATTTACTGAACAAACAGATTATAGTAAATGATAACTCAACCAGTGGTTAAAAGAGGCAGCATATAGGAAAACTGATGCTGTAGCTCACATGTGTCAAATTCAAGGCCCGCGGGCCACATCCGGCCTGGCGTATAATTACATCCGGCCCGTGAGATCATTTTATATATCTTTTTTTAATGGCCCGGCGATATGAAGCGCAGATAACAAACAAACTACAAATCCCATAATGCAGCTGCCTTACCGAACGATAGGCTACCTGCGATCATTCCCATGTTAATTACGTCAGATCAATCAAGCGTCTGTTGATGTATACAACCCTAATTTCAAGTCAAAGCTAGCCCCTAACAATGGCCAAGAG